CAAGTTAGGTGAGATGGTGGAGGCCAAACCCGTCAGTAACTTCAAAGTGTTATACGACAAAGAGTACTGGGAAGACGGGATACTACGAGCGTAGCTCTCATCCTGTAAGTAGACTCAGGTAATCACGCACACCAACACGTATGCACGCAAAGAAGCACGCACGCAAACGAGCACACAGACACACACACACACACCATAAATACTCCGGGCACTAAGTACCTGGAGACTGAGTCAACAAACAGGGAGGCTGGAGACCCCGAAGGTGATAACACCGCCCGGCCTCTTAACTATCCCCGCCCTCCACACACCAAGTGCTCCTCCACCTTCACCAGAGTCCTGCTCCCCGACCACTGTTACGGCACCGCTACTCCACGAGTAGTGGTGGAGGAGAGGAGCAGTGGTAGTGGAGGAACAGTGGTGGAGAAATAGTGTTGGAGAAACAGTGGTGGTGTTGGTGCTATATTGGCTGGTGTGGTAGCGATCACATGGTGCGATACCAGTCTTAACTATGAGAGGTGATGGTACCGGGTGACTGTTATCAGCGGGTGATGACAGCGCGTGAGGAAGACACAACCAAGATAGCGGTGCTGGGATTAAAATCAGCACCTGGCAAGGAATGTTGGTCTCAGGTGGAAGTGGTGGCAGGAACAGGTGGCAGGGACTGATGGCAGGGGGTAAGTGATGGCCAGGATCAACAAGGCAGTGTTGTCCCGGCGGATGGAGTGCCTCACCCGGAACCTCCTCCACGCCCTCCGAGTGCTGAGATAAAGCTAGCGACTTGACGCTAAGAATAGCGCAGAGCTACGCACATCTACGACCTATTTGTCTGATTCTCTGAAAAGTGTATAATCAAATCTGATGTATTCACGCCAAGTTTCCATTATCCTGACACATTTCTCTTCATTCCATCAACATTTCGTCACCCCTTGTTCGAAACTGACCAGGATCGACCCAGCATGAACCAATATCCATCGCCCATCAGCTGTCAACGCCGTCCGCGCCATCACAGTTACTAGGGTGAAAGTTTATCATGGATATTCACCACAAAGCTAAATTCTTCAAGCTTAGCCTACATTTTTTTATATTAATCGCTCTGTAATATTTTTAAAATGATTCAGCTTCAATTTACCCAACCGTAAAAATTATTTTAGCTATTTTTAAAGCTGTATTTTCTGTATAATGTAGGATAAACTCATTGGCAGTACTGCACGTCACTCGTTCTGTCAGCCAATCAGCGGCCATAAATCTGTCACCGGTGCGCGCAGTGTTGCCGTCACTAGGGCCGGACAGTTTAGACAGGAGTTACATTGGAGATGAAATGGTTGTTGTTGTGTTTGGACAGACGGACAGACAAGGCCCATTTCGAAGGGATACACAGAAGCCAGGAGTGATAGGTGTTGTGTTTAGGCCAGGAGTGGTCCACTTTAAGACTCCCCAGTAGTATATTCTTTCTCACAGAAGCCTGGATCAAATGCCGCCATATTTAGAGTAAAAACCTTGAGGAATAAAAGGCGTTTACATTGCGATAATGACCTACACTATTACTCTTAATAACATACTCAGATTTAAACTAAGCTGGAAATGGCGGAAAGTAAGAGTATCTGAGAATTGCACGAGTCCGCGCTGTGTCTAGTTACTACATCAACAAATGGGGCCTAATATACACACAATTCATTGGGTTCGCACTCATCTTTCTCAAAAGGCACACACACACTTATCTGATTTACTGCCGTCCGCGCAAACACCCATAAACAAACACAAACACTCACATACGCTCTTTCACAAGTTTTTTTGCGCCACTCAGTCATATAGACGTGTTGGTATATGACTTTAAGTGAACCTATTCTCTATTATGCAGAGCAACGGTGACCCATCATCAAGAGACCCTTAGTACTGAAATATAGTCTCTCTCTCTCTCTCACTCTCACTCTCACTCCCCTCTCTCTCTCTCTCTCTCTCTCTCTCTCTCTCTCTCTCTCTCTCTCTTGCCCAATATACATAGCCAAGTACATGCACTGTATACGCACTTGTACCCAAGGCCATGCATACACAAGCGCACGTTTCCCTCTCAAGTACAGCAGCCATAATGCACAAATGCTGTTCCCCTCCTTGAGCACTCTCTTGGGACTTCCCCTCCTCCTCCCCCTCCCACCAACCTCTCCCCTCACTGGCTGTCGGCACTCTGTGGGACAGCGTGTTATATAAGGGGGAGAAGATGAGGGCCAAGGGGTAACTCTGGCTGTCAACAGGTTAAGTAGGGGCACGGCTGAAGAAATGCCACCAAGAAATGGTTTAAGAAAGCAATGTTATTAATATTAAATATGTTAGTTATCCTCTAAAAAAACTCCAAGAACATATTGATTACAATATTCGTCAACGGGGATACTTTAAGAAGAACAAAAGGGCAGAACAAATAACAGATAAACAAGAACAAAGAACAGGTACAGGAACAGGCAGAACAAATAACAGATAGACAAGAACAAAGAACAGGTACAGGAACAGGCAGAACAAATAACAGATAGACAAGAACAAAGAACAGGTACAGGAACAGGCAGAACAAATAACAGATAGACAAGAACAAAGAACAGGTACACATGAAAATAAAGAAAGGTTACATAGCATCAGAGAGGAAAATAGTTCAAAGAAAAACAAATGGTTTAAGATGTTTGGGAAGGAAAGCGAGAGGAGCGCGACCATTGGCTCAGGTATCATGTGTGTACCATCTTTTATTGTGCTATATCCCTACCAATCCGGGTTCGATCCCGGGCACCGGCGAGAAACAATGGGCAGAGTTTCTTTCATCCTATGCCCCTTGTTACCTAGCAGTAAAATAGGTACCTGGGTGTTAGTCAGCTGTCACGGGCTGCTTCCTGGGGGGTGGAGGCCTGGTCGAGGCCCGGGCCGCGGGGACACTAAAAAGCCCCGAAATCATCTCAAGATAACCTCAAGATCCATCCCCGCTCATCCATAACTATCCATCCCCACCCATCCATCCTTACCAATCCTTCCCTCTCTATCCTTACCCATGGATGACATCTCCCGTCACGCAGGGTGCAGTTGCACCTCCACAGATCTCCAGTATCATCTATTGATACTGGTAATGGCTCAAAAGGGCCACCACTTACGGGCTATTCTTGCCCGTGCCACCTTTTGGGTGGCTTAATCTTCATCAATCAATCTATCCATACCAATCTTCTCCCACCCATCCTTACCACTGACAGGTGAAGCTGGGGATCTCTCCTCCCCGCAAGGAGTACAGAGCATGTCGTCCACGCCTTCCGCAGAATCGTTTGAAGGCTTAATAAAGAAAGGTCAAAGATTAGCCAGGGTTGATGCCACCAGACAGTGCCGGCTCAAAGCTGGAGGCACCAGTGCTTACCAGGAGCGGTGAGTGCCAGTCAAAACAGGCGATAACCCATGACCCTGGGGTGGCACCGCCCCTCTCACCACCGCCGCCGCTGCTGCTGCAGCGTCCAGCAAGAGGTCGTCATTGTTGTAGGAGAGTTACCTCACTGTTGTGCTCGGCCTCACACGAGTGGGGTCTAGCACCTGACAAAAGTGTGCAAGCTAGGACGTCATCGCTACTCTATAAACAAATCAGACCCAGCCAAACTCACCCTAACCTCCTAACCCAACCCAACCCAACCTAACCTAACCTAACCTAACCTAACCTAACGATTACAAAAGATAAACTTTTATTTTATATGTGGAGTGTACAAGGTGTGATGTCTCAATGACGTCATAATGGTCATATTGGTACAAGTTTTAGATCCTACTGGCTCAGACACTTCCGTTGGTAGCGATCGACCGCTCAATATAGCAAACTACCGCTAAATTTTAGCATGAATCGCTACACCAAAAATAGCGCCATATCTTCACCAACGCTGTGCTGACGTCAGCAACTGCTGCTCTCAGAGCCTTCACTGTCCTCACCACCATGTCCTCCCCTAGTGCGTCAGCTCCTGGGCCCCGCCTTCTCTACATAACTTTGTTTAATGGACTGAGATACGAGACAGCACCTATTTAATGCCTGACAGCTTCTATTTGATATGCAGCAGTTCCTATTTAATACGTGGCAGCTCCTATTTAATACAAGGCAGGTATTGTCTGCCAGAACTCGTAGACCGGAACTCGTGCCATATTGTGGTAATTATCCCTTCACATCAAGACTTGTCGGCAGCTTGAGGCTGGAGCCCCGCTGGTGGCGGCCACACAAGGAATCCAGTGCTAGATTCAACACCCTATAAATATCGTTTAAGATCGGCGGATTGAATCGTCGCTCTGTGTGGGGTGGTGTACAGGGTAAACATGGGTAGTGGGTGGTGGGGGTGGTGTTGGGGGTAGTAGTGGGGGTAGTAGTGGGGGTAGTGGTGGGGGTAGTGGTGGGGGTAGTGGTGGGGGTAGTGGTGGGGGTAGTGGTGGGGGTAGTGGTGGGGGTAGTGGTGGGGGTAGTGGTGGGGTAGTGGTGGGGGTAGTGGTGGGGGTAGTGGTGGGGGTAGTGGTGGGGTAGTGGTGGGGTAGTGGTGGGGGTAGTGGTGGGGGTAGTGGTGGGGGTAGTGGTGGGGTAGTGGTGGGGGTAGTGGTGGGGGTAGTGGTGGTGGTGGTGGTGGTGGTGGTGGTGGTGGTGGTGGTGGTGGTGGTGGTGGTAGTGGTAGTGGTAGTGGTGATGGTAGTAGTAGTGGTGGTGGTGGTGGTGGTGGTGGTGGTGGTGGGGGTTGTGGTGGGGGTAGTGGTGGTGGTAGTGGTGGTGGTAGTGGTGGTGGGTGGTGGTAGTGGTGGGGGTGGTGGTGTTCGTGGTGGTGGTGTTCGTGGTGGTGGTGGTAGTGGTGGTGGTGTTGGTAGTGGTGGTGGAGTGGTGACGTGTGCACAGCAGCAGTACCACCAGCAGCGGCAGCACTCGAAGCCTCCTCAGTGGTACTAGCAACAGGAACAATATGAAGAGCAGCAGTAGTAGCAATATTAACAGTGTACGTCGTCAGCACTACCGCTGAGCAACCCACCTTCCTGCAAGGCTTGGGAGACACGCTGAAGGAGGCCATGAACTGCTTCCTCTGCGCCGACGTCAGGATCGTTCTGGGTCTCTTGGGGCCTCGTCTACCGTCCCGAGGTCTCGACCCATCGTCCACTATGAAGTCGTCGCCCAGTGGACCTGCAGAAGCCATAGACGAAGGCGATGATCGTCTGGTAGGAGGCACAGAGTAAGCTGGGTCCTCGGACTGCACATTACTGTGCAGCTTTTTTATGTTGTTATTTCTTAATTGGTTAAAGACATTCCTATTTTAGGTTTGTGGAAAAAAATTACTGAAACTATACAAGTGAACTAAATGTTACTAATTTATCTGAAGAATGAGTCATATATTTGAACGAGAATTCATATTTTATTAAACTGATAAAACATCTCAATAAATCTTCTATTACCGATATTACACATATGGAGATTTGATCTTCATACTAAACTTGAGCAAGATTCTTAAGCAGTATATAGAGGAGGAGCCAGTGAGCGCGCCCACCGTCTCAAGGAACACATCACCGGTACACAAGACCTCAACCCGTCAACACTAATCCAATAAATACATGAGGCTATACCAACCAGTTTCCTCAGTAGGCTTTATAATTAGTATTATTATTTAAACTGAAAGTGAAATTATTCCTCGATTTTAAACTCAAAGGATATTTCAGAAAAGGGAGAGTGATGAGGGGATTTTTTTGGGGTGGGGGATAGGGAGGGACAGGGGATGTTTCCCGCGTAAATATACACGGCGGGTTAGCCAGATCATGAAACAATAAACAAAACTACACTTCAATACTAACTCAGCCACTCACTCTGCGGCCCGTGCTGCTGTAGAAGGAACATCTCTTTCTCGTAGTCGGCCCGGCAGAAGAGCTGGTGACCCCGTAGCACGTACTGGTCGCCCTTCTGCAGCACCTGGCAGCAGACGACGCAGGCGAAGCAGTGGAGGTGGAAGACGAGAGACTGCGCTCGCATCACCAGCTCGTGGGGCAGGAGGCGGTCGCCACACCCGGCACACTTCACAGAGAACAGCCTGCGTGAGGAGGCGGCTCCGATTAGCGAGTGTTCTCTCAGCTCTGGGAACCAGCTCTTACACATATTTGGTGCTGAGAATCTCCGCTGCTAGTACAGCCAATACACCTATCTTGAGGTTATCTTGAGTTGATTTCGGGGCTTTTTTTTTAGTGTCCCCGCGGCCCGGTCCTTGACCAGGCCTCCACCCCCAGGAAGCAGCCCGTGACAGCTGACTAACACCCAGGTACCTATTTACTGCTAGGTAACAGGGGCATAGGGTGAAAGAAACTCTGCCCACCGTTTCTCGCTGGCGCCCGGCATCGAACCCGGGACCACAGGATCACAAGTCCAGTGTGCTGTCCGCTCGGCCGACCAGCTCCCCTCCCATCATACACAAAACGGTTTTCACCAACAGACTTTAAAACCGACATAACCCAACCCAACCCAACCCAACCCAAAACCAGCCTAAAATATGCAGGCGATGAGTCACAATAACGTGGCTAAAGTATGATGACCAGACCACACACTAGAATGTGAAGGGACGACGACGTTTCGGTCCGTCCTGGACCATTCTCAAGTTGATTAAGAATCTCAATCGACTTGAGAATGGTCTAGGACGGACCGAAACGTCGTCGTCCCTTCACATTTTAGTGTGTGGTCTGGTCATCAGCCTAAAATAACCCAACGGAGCCTAACACAGCCTAACTTAAGGTAAATACAGCTAACCTAACGATATATATACGAAACATTTGAATACGATTTGAATGTAATCTTGATATAAACAGTAAAATTAAAAGTTTTGGAATGAAAGCTACAATTTATACCACAGGATCCAAGTCCACATAGATAAACCATCCCAACCAAGCCTCTGACCCCAACAGAGACTGAACGACGGGCTTCCTAATAACGACACAAACTCCATACACAGCACCAGAGGAAACAACACGACCCGGCACGCCACGGGTCGTACTGCGATGTACGACCCGTGTAGATCGGGTCGTACGATGTACGACCCGATCTGCGAATATGTAGGCCTTGGTGGGGGGGGGGGGGGAGGGCCGGGCACGTGCTGTAGCAACCCGTGTTCCATCATCAACAATGATTATGCTCATAATTATGCTCATAACAATGCGTATGGCTAGGCATCCCCTCCCGTTCTTAGAAGAGCATCCACCTCCAATGAACGTTTCTTACCTAGGAACGTTTGTTACCTATTAACGTTTGTTACCTATTAACGTTTGTTACCTATCAACGTTTGTTACCTATTAACGTTTGTTATCTAGGAACGTTTGCTACCAATTAATGTTTGTTAATCAGTTTTACTATATGAGAGGAGGTGAGAGTGGAGAGCGTGGACCTCAAGGAACACTATATATATATATATATATATATATATATATATATATATATATATATATATATATATATATATATATATATATATATATATATATATAAGAAAGTTATGGCTCCAGGAGCTCCAGGCCTGAGCGCGCGGGACCCACTCCGGGCACTCCGGAAGCTCCCTAATGGACGACAGCAGCAACCAATAGAAATGTTTCAACTGAAAATGGTGTGTAAATATCGCATTTCTATTGGTTAAAATGCCATGTAGGGTTCACATTTGTAATTCCAAAAAAATCCCAAAATGTATTCTAGCCCTGAGCCAATAGGAATCTGCTATTGCAAAGGGAACGTAAATACCCATTTGCCACTGGCCGAGCCGCTGTAAAGTGTCCGGAATGTGCAATTATCCGACGGCCCGAAACTAAACGTCAACTTGGCCCAAAACTTTCTCATGAATCAACCAGATCAGGGCCGGGACTCGTCACGCATTTACACGACCGCTTACGAAACCTGTACATCTTTCCTCAATCATGGCGGCTTTGTTTACGCTTATTAAACAGTTTACCAGCTTGGAAACGTCACAAAGCAAGGTTATTATGGTTATAAACAACCTCGTGGTGCTTCGGAGGTCGTCAACTGTTTGATATGTGTAAACAAAGCCGCCATGATTGAGGAAAGATGTACGGGTTTCGTAAATGGTCTTGTAAATGCTTGATGACTCCCAGCTGCAATCAGAGCCCCGCACTGAGTTACAGTCTAACACTGGGTCCTGTAGCACAGTAGTCTACGTCCTTGGCTCGCACTCGACGGACCCGAATTCAATCCCCGGACGGAACAAGAACGGTTGGGCACGTTTCCTTTCAGCTGATGCAGTAAACAGGTACCTGAGAGTCGGGCAACTGTTGTGGGGGGTCGCATCATTCTTTCAACCTGGTGTACCTGTTCACCTAGCAGTAAATAGGTACCAGGGAGTTAAACAGCTGCTACGGGCTGCTTCCTGGGTATGTGTGTGAAAATTAGGATTAAGGACCTGCCAGAAACGCTACGCGTGCCAGTGGCTGTACAAGAATGTAACAACTCTTGTATATATAAGTAAAAAATAAAATAAAAAATAAAAAAGACACGTTAAAACCACGAGCATCGTACTTACACCATGGTCTGAACACGTCATCAATGGGAGACAAGACCACACCATCAATGGGAGACAAGACCACACCATCAATGGGAGAGAAGACCACACCATCAATGGGAGAGAAGACCACACCATCAATGGGAGACAAGACCACACCATCAATGGGAGACAAGACCACACCATCAATGGGAGACAAGACCACACCATCAATGGGAGACAAGACCACACCATCAATGGGAGACAAGACCACATCATCAATGGGAGAGAAGACCACAACATCAATGGGAGAGAAGACCACAACATCAATGGGAGACAAGACCACACCATCAATGGGAGAGAAGACCACATCATCAATGGGAGACAAGACCACACCATCAATGGGAGAGAAGACCACAACATCAATGGGAGAGAAGACCACAACATCAATGGGAGAGAAGACCACAACATCAATGGGAGACAAGACCACACCATCAATGGGAGAGAAGACCACAACATCAATGGGAGAGAAGACCACAACATCAATGGGAGACAAGACCACACCATCAATGGGAGAGAAGACCACACCATCAATGGGAGAGAAGACCACAACATCAATGGGAGACAAGACCACAACATCAATGGGAGAGAAGACCACAACATCAATGGGAGACAAGACCACATCATCAATGAGAGAGAAGACCACATCATCAATGGGAGACAAGACCACACCATCAATGGGAGACAAGACCACACCATCAATGAGAGACAAGACCACAACATCAATGGGAGACAAGACCACAACATCAATGAGAGAGAAGACCACATCATCAATGGGAGACAAGACCACATCATCAATGGGAGAGAAGACCACATCATCAATGGGAGACAAGACCACAACATCAATGAGAGAGAAGACCACAACATCAATGAGAGAGAAGACCACAACATCAATGGGAGACAAGACCACATCATCAATGGGAGAGAAGACCACATCATCAATGGGGGAGAAGACCACATCATCAATGGGAGACAAGACCACAACATCAATGAGAGAGAAGACCACAACATCAATGAGAGAGAAGACCACAACATCAATGGGAGACAAGACCACATCATCAATGGGAGAGAAGACCACATCATCAATGGGAGACAAGACCACAACATCAATGAGAGAAGACCACATCATCAATGAGAGAGAAGACCACATCATCAATGGGAGACAAGACCACAACATCAATGGGAGAGAAGACCACATCATCAATGGGAGACAAGACCACACCATCAATGAGAGACAAGACCACAACATCAACATAAGCTGAGAACATATCTACGAAAGAGACCACAACAAAAAACCGATATGGAACTAAATATCAATATCTAGAGGATAGAGGAGACAGAGGGGGCATGACCACAACATACAAGATACTGAGGGGAATATTAAATAAAGGTGGATAAAGCTAGACTCTTCAAATGAAGAGAAGGAAGTAGGCCAAGAGGACACAAGAGGAGGAAGTACTCGTACCCTGTACGCGTAGTGAACGAGTTGAATGCACTGCAAGAGGAAGTTGTAGGAGCCACCTCCATTCACAACTTGAAGGCAATATTCGATAAAGAGTTGGGACGTCAGAATAGTTAAGTTGTGATACTACAAGTACAACAAGGGTAGTAGGCTGGGTATTATGAGCTGGACCTCACTCCCCTCTTAGTCATTGTTAGGTAAGTACTACCACCACCACTACCACCACTGGGTCACTACCTCCACTACCACCACCACCCCCCAGCCACCACCCAGCCACCACCACTACCACCACCCCCCAGCCACCACCACCACCACCACTCCCCAGCCAGCCACCACCACCACCACCCAGCCACTACCACCACCACCACCCAGCCACTACCACCACCTCCACCACCACTACCACCCCCCAGCCACCACCAATATAACACCTCCTCTTCCCCTCACCCTCCCTCGTGCAGCCTCGTAACTTCCCCCTGCACCCCGCACTCCCCCAGCTCCCCCTCCAGAGCCTCCCCTGGCCAGCAGCCCCTGCCACCCCCGACCCTGGCCACCATCTCCCCTCTCTCTCTCCCCTCCCAGCTGTCGCCAGGCAACACGTGGGTCAGGCTCGTCCCCTCACCAGCTGGCTCGCCGCCCCTCACATTTATTATAATGAAAAATATCCGGCCCGCGTGATCCGACCCGGCGTGTTTTGAAGCGTTATTCCCAGTCCGGCCGAGATGGCAGGCTCCAGCCGGCTGGCTCCACCACCTGGCAGCTCCAGCCGGCTCCACCACCTAGCAGGCTCCAGCCGGCTCCACCTCTTCTCCAGACTTCTCTCAGGTGTTAGGCCCGGCGTGTAGGCCGGGTCGGGGCATGCTGGAGACCTTTCCTTGAGAGGCCAGAGAGAGAAATGTACACAAAAATGATAAACAAATTACTTTTAGCGCACATAAGTGTTGGTGGAGGGCGCACGGCTGGACCAGTAGCGCACTGTGCACCACCTTGATTATCCCAGATATTTATTCACTGTGGCAGAATGTTTGGAATTTACGGGCTCACC